CTCCTCAGCTTCTTCCACCTTTTCACTAAGTCAACTACAGTGGTCAGCAGCTTCTGTTCACTGGTTGAGTGTAAATATCTATAACTGATACTTCAGGGTGCTTGTTTGGTCTTTCAGAGGGCAGTCGTGATACAACCCTTTCTTGTGAGCACTCTATACCCTCAGTAATAGTGTCTTTCCTCGGGTTCCCCTCTTCATCTGGAGCCCCCTTTGGGTCTGTTGCTGGACTGATCATCATCTCAGGCTACAACTCTGTCTAGGCTGCCTGTCTCTGGACTGGTGGCTCTCTCCTGATTTATCCTTGCCTGCACCTGCCTATGTTGCCCCATTCAGAAGTTTTCTGTCTAAGGCTCATTTCTAACCATGGTCCACTGTCACAGGCAGGGTGACTTGTTTCCAGCTTGCTTCTCACCACTGAATCCAATCTAGACATACACAGGACTAGGTCATTTCAGGATCACTTTTTATAATGTGTTTTTGTTTCTCCCTCTCCTTAGATACATTCCTATTTTACATTTGAAATATTATCCCCATTCCAGTTTTCCCACCCACCCCGAAATCCCTATTTACCATGTCTCCTACTCCTGCTTCTGTGAGGCTGTTCCCTACCTACCCACTCACTGCAGCCTCCCTTCCCTGGCATTGCCCTACACTGGTATATGGAGCCTTCACAGGACCAAGGGCCTCCCCTATTGATTTTCCCACAAGAGAATCTTCTGCTACATATGTAGCTGGAGCCATGAGTCCCTCCATGTGTACTTTTTGGTTGCTGGTTTAGTCCCTGGAATATCTGGGGTTAGTGGGTCTGGTTGATTAATATTGTTGTTCTTCCTATGGGGTTGAGAATCCCTTCAGCTCTTTCAGTCCTGTGTTATACTCTTCATTCTTCAGATGATCTCAGTCCACAACACTGAGCTTAGATATACCCTCTCTGTTCTCTGACACCTACTGAGGCACATGAGACACAACTACCACCAGCCAATGATCTAGGGGAAGACAATATCAATGATTTGAATCATTAAATGTCAATGGAATTCTGGTCTGTAGGATTTAACAGTAAAACTCCAAAACCACCCCCCCACCACCACCACCACCACCACCAAGAACAACAACAAAATAAATCAATACTATTTTCAAAGGAAAGACTTATTACCAAATAAGAATTAGCCAATCTTTTATCAAATCTTGAACTAGACCAGGAGATTCCTAAGCTCTGGCCATGTAGTGAAGACTCATCAACATAAAACATTGTTTGACAAGACTGCCAAGCAATTGTCTCCAATAGTAGGAAATAATCAATACCGCTTATTATTACATAACCTAACATCTTAAAGTTTGAAGAATGTTTTCAAATAATGAAAGTAATTCAAATTCTGTGAAGAATATCATTGGAAATTTGATGTGGATGGTATTGAATTTGTATTGATCACTTTCAATATTATAATCATTTGAAAGTATTAATTCAGACACTATGACTGCAGGAGATCACTCCATCTTCTTTTGTCTTCTTAAATATATTTTATTTCAGTGCCTTTAAAGTTCACTATAGTGGATGTACATTCCTTGTTTTATTCTCACTACTAGGTTGATCTTCAACATACCCACTCCTTAGTTTGTATTAATTTTCATAAAATTCTTACTCGTTATATAATATCATCCCAGTAATTCTCCATATACCTATCTATTTAAAATGGAGTAATTTCCAGTAATGGTCAAAATCCTTTTGGTTCCCACAATACTGAAACATTTCAATTTGCCTGCATAAGTAATGATTAGGTCAGATATTCACTGACGACTAGTGTGGGGAAGAAAATGAAGAGAAAAACAACAACTTACACAACTTGTGAAGTAATTATAGATCTTTGTTGGCAGTTGGTAGGATATTTTTCTTTTGTTGAAAATCAATTCTTTTCTTATACCACATATCTTAATTCAGCTTGCCCTACCTTCCTCTTATCATTTCCTCCCCACCTCCTTTACCTTCCTGACCCATCCCTTTCTGCCTCTATGAGAAAAGAACAGACTTCAAAGAACGAGCTTCCAAATGTGACAAAATAAATTATAGTAAGATGAAGTAAAAGTTATGATACTGAAGTTGAACACACTAACCCAACAGGAGATTAAAGGGTTTCTAGAACAGGTACAAGTGTCAGTGAACCACTTGTTAAGTGTCCCATAAAAATATTAAGCTAATAGCTAAAACAAAGCTTTAGAATATCTGGTGTAGCCCCATGTTGCCCTGGTACTTGAGTTTCAGTCTGGATGAGTTCCTATGGCCATTGTTTAGTTAGTTCAGAGAGCCTAGTTCCCCAGGTGTCCTTTGTCTCCTTTTATCATCATTGTGCCTCCTGTTCTACAGGAGTATCTAATGGAGGTGACTGAAGCATGGAGGGAAACAGTGAGAGCCATGGAGAGAGGATCAGTGGTAGGGAAACATCAGGGAAGAAGTTGGGTTAAGTAGAGAGGGCTAGCTGAGACATTGCCCCAGCAAAAAGCCAACAGCATTAAACTATATAGATGTCTCTGTGTCATTATTAGTAAAACTCCAATAGGACCTGAGAAGCCTTGCTATAATCCCTGAGCTCTGAGTAGAAGGAAGTGATAAGAACTCCAATTTAGAGAAAATCTCTGCAAACTATCTGGTTGTGGGTCTGTGCTTCTGTTCACATCTGCTGATAAAGGAACTCTTCTGACGATGAATAGATAGGACCCTGATGTTTAATCACAACTGAATTTCTTTAGAAACTATTTGAGTTTTTTTTTTTAAAGATCATCAATGTTTTCTTCTACTCTAGGTCTCTAGGCTACCTAGTCTCTGATTCTTAGTTCCCTGAGTACTGTTAGAAATGGGTTCGATCTCATAGAATAGGCTATAAGTCTAAACAGTCATTGGTTGGCTACTCTCCAAAATTTTGGGTCACCATTGCCCTAGCATAGACAGATTGAATAGGCAAAACATACTTTAGGTCAAAGATTTTGTTGGTGAATTGTCTGTTTCTCTTTTCAGGGTGTGCAGAGTATCATCCCTTACAAAACAAAAACAAAAACAAACAAAAAAAAAAACAGAATTTGGGTAAAAGCCTCTATATAGGCACCAGCTGACTTCTCCATGTTCAGTGAATTGTATGGTTATTGTCATCAGTGATGGGTCCACTGTCAGTTTGCAGATAGCATCCCTTTGTCTCACCACCATCCTGATGTATTCGATGATCTCCATGGGACCCTATGCCAAAAACTCAAATAAATGCAAATAAGTTCTCCCACTGGAAGCTTTTCATGACTAGAGGAGATGACCAGTTGAGACACTGTATTCCCCAATAATAAAACTCCTCATTAGGAACACCATCACACTTTCCAGAACATTTCCACTGTGTTAGGTTTACACTCCCCCAAATGGTTCCCCAATTCTAGCTGTCTCCGCTCCACCTCACCACTTGCATGAGCCTCCTTCTCCATCACATCTCCACTTGTCCCTGCTCAGCTGATTAAATATACTTAACTTCTTCCACGCAATAAAAACCACAAGACATTCTAAATCTCTGTCTCTCAACTTTCCTAATGCTGTGACCATTTATTTAATATAGTTTCTTATGTTGTGGTAACTCCCAACTTTAAAATTGTTTTACTCTTACTTCTTAGCTGTAATTTTGCTACTGTTAGGAATTATAATGTAAATAGTTCATACACAGGACATCTGATAGGGAATCACTCTGAACTAGCCATTTAACCTCAGAGTGGTGTGTCTGTAGAATTAAATATTTGAGGGGGTGGTCTATGGCCTTTGTTTCCAAATAACTGAAGAGGATTTTTATGTCAGTTCTAATCCATTTTCTCTCTCAGATTCAATACTCAGACGATATGAAGCCCAAGAAGAAGGAATATCAAAATGTGTATATCTCATTGCTACTTAGGAGGGTGATCAAAGTACTCACATGAGGAAATACGGAGACAACTTGTGGAGCCCAGACTGAAGGTGAGACCATTCAGTCACTGCTATACCTGGTGATCTATTCCTTATACCTGGACACTATTGTGGATGCTGGGAAGTGCTTGCTGACAGAGGCCTGATATAGATGTCTCCTGAGAGGCTCTGCCAGAGCCTGACAAATCCTGAAGTGGTTGCTCTCAGTAAACCATTGAACTGAGTGCTGGTTCCCAGGTGGAGGTATTGGAGAAGGGACTGAAGCAACTGAGGGTGTTTGTAGCCCAATGGAGGGAGCAACAGTGTCAACTGGCTGGACTCCATGGAGCTCCCAGACACGGGAAGACCAATCAAATGATACACATGGAGGGATCCGTGGCTCTGGCCACATATGTAACAGAGGATGGCATTGTTGGTCATAATTGGGAGGAGAAGTCCCTGGGGCCTGGGATGTTTGATGCCACAGTGTAAGGGAATTCAAGAGAGGGAAGACTGAAGTGGATGGGTGGGTGGTGGAGCACCCTCATAGAGTGAGAGGGAGGTGGGTTGAAATGGGGGTTTCTGAAAGGGAGACCTGGAAATTAAAAACATTAGAAATGTTAATAAAGAAAATATCTAATAAAAAATTAAAAATATTTTTTTAAAAAACTAATAAAAAGACCTAGAGACCTGGTATTTCTTCGTAACAACCTGCAAGAATTAATACCATAATAACATCTGTCTTACTGTCACTCAACGAAACTGTTAATACTTAAATTGCCAATTACATGCTCACTCTGGTCTATAGCTGCTGTCTCATCATGATCTCATAGAAATTCTCCCATTTCTATTCATGTGGCTTCTCTACAATATTCTCCTCCTAGAAGTCCTTCTCTCTTACACCCCCATGTCTTCTGGGACACCTGAAACATCAATCCACTCCCAGACTGATTTTGGACCTCCAACTCTATTCTGTTCTGTCCAGTAAATACACTGATCAATTGTTTTACTAACCAATCAAGTGTGATGGAAAAAATTTTTATCAAACATAAAGTCTGCATCCAAACGTTGGGGTGTGGAAAAGAGTATCTGATTGAAGAGAGCAGAAAAAGTATCCTACAAATTAATTTTCAGACACTTGAGAATCTTCTATTGAGAATTCCCTGTTTAGAGGTTTACCCATTTTCAACAGAATAACTTGAGTTTTGGTTGAAATTTCTGTTTTGCATGATTTTGATTTTTGTTATATTATTGGGATATTACATGTTCTTGTTAATGATTTTCACAGTTTATATTAACCTTCATATTAAAACTTGTTTTTTAAAATTTATTTCTTGTGAATTAAAAGTTGATCTGCAACTCTTGACCCTTTTTTTAAATTTTATCTTTCTTTTACACTCCAGATTTTATCTCTCTTCATGTTCACCCTTTGATTGTTCAACATATTGTCCTGCTCCACATCTGTCTCCCTGAAATGATCCCCAACCTCCCCCCAATCCCTACTCCATCAAACCTTCCCATTCCTTGGGGTCCTTTGAGGGTTAGGTGCACCTTTTATGACTGAATCCAGACCTGGCAGTCCTCTTTTGTACATGTGTAGGGGGCCTCTTATGAGCTTGTTTATGCTGGCTGATTCGCATATCTGAGAGATCTATGGGGTCCAGGTTATTTGAGACTCCTGGTCTTCCTATATGGTCACCCTACTCCTCAGCTTCTTCCAGCTTTTCACTAAGTCAACTACAGTGGTCAGCAGCTTCTGTTCACTGGTTGAGTGTAAATATCTGCAACTGACACTTTCAGGTGCTTGTTTGTTCTTTCAGAGGGCAGTCATAATACAACCCTTTTTGTGAGCACTCTGTAACCTCAGTAATATTGTCAGGCCTCTGGTATTCCTCTTGAGCTGGGTCCTCCTTTGGGTCTTTCGCTGGACCTTCAGCCAGACTGATGATCATCTCAGGCTACAACTCTGTCTGGGATGCCTGGCTCTGAACTGATGGTTGTCTCCCGATTTCTCCTTGCCTGAACCTATCTATGTTGCCCCATTGAGAAGTTTTCTGTCTAAGGCTCATTTCTAACCATGGTCCATTGTAACAGGC